GTTATTCGTGTGTACTTAAAAGTATATTCAAATTTGTCATCGAGAATTCAAGATATGTTGTCAGCATATTCAAGCTGCAGAGATGTATACAGGATAACTAGTGTTGAAAAAAATTGGAGTAAAAGCCTTGCTCAAGGTAAACAATTCTGAGTAATCTTGGGTATGAATCGAACATATTCCCTTTCTGTCGCGGATCCATTTCGCTAATCAATGACCAATCTCGTCTCTAAAATGCAAACTAATGTGTACAATATAACCAAGGCTAATATAATAAAATACAAACCTAAAACAACGTCAGTGATATGCTGATGTTAAATTTGTTGTTATGTTGTTGTTCTAGGGTTTAACGCCAATTTTCAACACAACTTAGGCTATACATGGCGGCCAGTATTAATGGTAGAGGAAGAACACTGGAAAATCCCGGTAAGAACCACCGACCCGCGAGAAAATCTGGCATGATTTCTCACGTAACCACGTTAACCGAGTCTGGACTAGAACTCACGCAGAGGTGCGATGGCAGTGATCCGTAACGGTCAGCGCTTTAGACCACTCGGCCACTCGATTATTAATTTGTATATGTACTGTTTAGCGTGATATTAGACTTATTACCTTCATCCTTATTAAATAAATTTCAGCAAATTATATTCCAGTTGTACACACGAGTCAATGTCAAACCTTAAGCTCTGTGCTGTTGATCCTAATGGTTCATCCATAACCACTGCAATATCGTTACCAATAATAATCTTCTCACCTTGGTTGAGAAGTTTTGTAAACACAAAGTGAAAACTATTGGCTATTGCATAGTCCTGTTCGGCCCACGTAAAACTGAGTTGTAAATAGCCGTCATTTTTATTATTTCCGGTTTGAGATATGACATTTATATATGGCAATTCTTACCTCCTAAGTGATAATTGGCATTTTTTACAGCGATGTTTAAGTAATCAGGTCGCCCGTCACGTGAGCAACCATGTGATCTGAAAATCGTGGGTTAAAACAGACTCTCTCTAGTAGATTTATTAGTCGTAAAAGTGTATCTTTTGCCTAAGGTATTTGTCTTGTTGCCATTTTGTGTTCATATTCGTATTTAAAATAGTTTATACATCCTGGGAAATGCCCTTTTTATGAAACTTCTGGGACAAAGACATTCAATGAAAATTTATTCTGGAATTCTAAACAGAACATTATAAATATTGTTTCAACTAGGAACTGTTGTTATCAGTACAACGACCTCATCTGATATTATAGTCTTCGATGTTGGAACTTCACAGAGATTCAAACGTGGATTCAATTACAACTGTTTAGTGATAGGACTTATATTTTACAATTTTAGAATTATTTTTGGATTATATTCGCAAACGTCCTTCTTCATAATTTTATCTTGTTTCCTAGGGAAATTTTTCACAATTTACAAAGCTTTTTGACTTTTCTTTTGTTACATTTGTGCGAGTCTACACATAACTATATATACATATATCTTCTCAAGGAACTTACGTAAAATCAATTTTGAAAGCCATAAAGACGCAAATTTAGTTCATTCCATGATAGAATCCACAAGGTATTTGATAACGAGACAGAGGAATTATTACACTTTGGGATAAAGTTTAAGAAATTTCTTGACAAGTTGGTAATTTGACCACTACAACAAACTTTTTTTTTAATATCCATTTAGTTTTAACATTTAGTTGTTGCTTTTTGCTCCAAATCCACCGAAAACTTTTTTTTCATTGTTTTGTAAATTGTGGTCAAACATTTTATCACTGTTCCTCACTACCGTACTAATTATTCAAATGCAAAAGGGTCATTTTTATCATTATTTGAAATATGTATTACATTCAGATGGAAAAAGAGCATCCAGTACAATTATCGTAGCCTTTAGATCATGGAGAAATTTACAATGATAATCATATATGCCAATAAATTGCATGTAGAGGTTGTAGCCAGTGTTACATCATAACCCACTGTTTATATATATATATATATATATATATATATATATATATATATATATATATATATATATATATATATATATATATATATGTTCCTTTAACCATGCCATACTCGCGCCATATAGTGTGCTGTCACATACAGCATCGCCATTAATCGCCCTTTTGTTTTATTCTGTTTTGTGTTTTACATATATTTTCATATGTGTAAAGTGCTGCTCTAATTACACAAAAGTGAACAGCTTTGGCCGTGTCTTCTTAGTTTTACTTTATCCAACGAAACCCATATTAGTTTTACTCAATGCATTGTAATGAGTGATGTTAAATTCATTTGAGTTCAAAAGATCCCAGCATATGTTGATGTATGTTCTCATCTATATGAATCTAGCCTGTTACGTATATACAAACTTTATTTACTTTTACTGGTCAAAGCCTTTTGCCTTCTTAGAGAGATATATCTGGTTGCAGTGATTTTTATGCCAGCTAATGAGGTATTTTAACTCTGTTACTTATTATTATTATTATTATTATTATTATTATTATTATTATTATTATTATTATTATTATTATTATTATTTATCCATCTTTGGTATCAACGTTTATAAGACGAAGCATATGTATGTTACTAATTATTGAGGTCCATTTTGACATTACTCACTCGAAGACAGGTATAGGAAACTGACTGAAAGACTGATGGAAGATATCTTGTACCAGGTCTACACCTACTGCATTTGTTGCATCGTTGATGTGTATGGACAAAAATAAAATGGTGAATCGCACTAATTTATTCATACATCAGGTCATTTTTGACCAAATGTGGTTTGCATTTGTTTTCCTCTGAGAGATTTATTGCTTATGTGACGTGTTTGTCGATTTCCCACGGGTGTTATATAAATGTCGAAATAGTATTAATTTTATTCGAATGACACAACAAAAAAACAAGCCGTGATAAAAGATAAAAGAACTATCAATTGCGCACAAACAAATTCTGAAACGATATTTGTAACTATAGACACAACGAGACCCAAAGGTATCCTACGTTTGTTCAGAGATAAATCACTGGTGAGGCGAGTGGTTACTTACTAATATGAATTGTATATATATATAATCGCTAGATTTTAATTACCTTTCATATGTTGTCGTTGTTACACATTATTTGCAATCCCCGTTAATCGGGAATCTTTATTTTTTATAACCGTTACCAATTTTATCGTTTTACCTTTAGCTATTTGGTTTCGTTTCTCTGACCGATACAGATACTTTTTTACAATTTGTACATAATGAAGAATATAACCTTTTGGATGGCCTTTTTGTGCTGGTGCGCCGTAAAAATTCAACCAACCAATCAAGTAAAAACCAGCTTGGGTGGTAATACCAGTTCCAACACGATCATGCTGTATCCATGCTGGACATCAATACTGCATAACAATCAGTGGCATATATTTAACAACGATTAAATCCTTTGAATAAAAATGTAATGTTTGAATAATGCTAAGAATACTTATTTGCTTGTTTTACTTTTGTAATTGTGTAAGTGGAAAACACTGAAAAATAATGGCAGACACACAGAAATATCCAGTGTCACCTTTCCTACATGCTGAGGGTGTGCCTTGTCCCTGTCTCGTTAATCTATATACACACTTTCCAAATGGATCGTTTTACAACCTCACCCTATCTCACTATTAATCATATTTTCATTGCGGACCGTTAAATTTAGTGACCAAATCAAGGCAAACAAGGTAGAAGGAATGAAAATATATCCATAATTGTTTGAAACAGCCTTGGTCAAAGTTAAACGCTATGTAATTAGTAGTTTTTTGTGATAATTTTAGTGACGCTATTTCATACTGCCTATAACAGCGACAACACTACGTGCAACAAAACTATCTGACAACAAGCAAATGACAAGATTTAGATGAACGCTGCATTTATTTCTTGGTGGCAGTAACAATGTTGAAATATATTTTGCAAACTAATACCTGCAAAAGTCCTGAATGGCATGTAAATCCAGCTTGCAACGCTAAAAGTCTACAAATCATCAACACCTTATCAGGTCGGGAAACTTGCAGAGAAAAAGTACTAACAAAAGTGTTAAATGAGATATCACCATAATCTGACACAAGGAATGTTCAGATCTTTCTACTTCATGATGTAAGAGCTTGATCCGGAATCCATAATATATCAGGATTAATTTGAAAATACGAAAATTAAGACTATTTCACCAAGATCTGTTAGGACATCACAAGCTAGGACTTTGACATTTTGTTAGCGCGTCTACCGGAAGACCCATAAGCTGAACGTTTTGAACTACAAACAGATGGTTTACAAGCAAAACTCTCTATTTGTTTTATAAAAGCTAATACCTTATACGAAAATATATTAACAATTGTTGTTCAAAATATACTTTTCTAATGTAGCATCTTTAAGATTTTCCATTCGCATGAAACTTACTTAACTTTGACATATCGCACATTTGTTACCCCAGATTTAAATGATGCATAAATGCTATATTGCCTAGTTTGCAATTCATATATAAGCATGCTAATTAAGAACAGGTGCGTTTCGTAGTTGTAGCATTATAGTAATGTATTTTTAATAATATAATTGTTAATTCCTAAATAGTTTAATCTAACATCCTTTTCAATTTCTTTAAACTTTTTTAAGTAAATTATGGAGTACTTAGTAATAACTGTACAGAAATAATAATAATAATAATAATAATAATAATAATAATAATAATAATAATAATAATAATAATAATAATAATAATAATAATAATAATAATAATAATAAATACCTTTTCATTGCTTTAAAAAGCTATCTCTAAATAAATAGAAACGAGTAATCAATACAAGGCTCATTTGGTATTTCGAGACTAATAATCTGATATCTTCTTTCCAAAGCAGCGTCTGATGTGGAAGTAACACCAGCTGGCATTTAGTTATATTTGAAACATTCATTCTTTGATCAATAAATTTTATTATGTTTTCTTCGACTTTGAAAGGTCCATTGTTGCGAGGCAGCTGTTAGTACCATTTTTGTAAGTCTTTCGTATGACTCGACCGGGGATCTTACCCACGACCTCCCGCGTCCGAGGCCGTCGCTCTAACCACTAGGCCACCGGAACGGTTGTTGGTAGACTAGAATCTGAGTTAAAATTAGTTGTCCTTTTGATGAACATGTAATTTATATAACATGGGAATGTCTCACCTTTTGACGTTTGTCTCTAAGGAAAACAAAATTTGCAGAAGTGCTGTAAAAAGTGTATGATTTCATTAATTAGTCTTTCCTTGATCGCAGTGATTATATTAATTTTAAATCGATTAAGAGTTACTTATCCGCATATGTTACACGTTGAGAAGGGAAATAGATCAAATGGGGTGCTAATTATCATTGTAACCATTGATATTCTCGTTTGCATTGAGGTTATAACAAATTATCCGGAACTGTATAAAGATATACATTTTAATGGGCGAAGAGGCGTAACAATTTTCGCACACGCACGAAAATTATTTGGACAGGTCATCTGGTTGGAAACTGTAGCAAGTCTTTCTGGTCCCTTCGAAATACGTCTTGCATGTTCTAAAATGATCAGAATAAGTCTGAATATACTGAATTATAAGATTTTATGTCTATTAAATTGTTGATAGAGCGTCGGACTCGTAATCCAGTTAGATCTATTTCGATTACCACTCAAACCAGCCGGTATCAGCTGCCTCGGTGTGGCCTTGGGAAGCGGTGTTAGCTCCTACACCTTCGGCATGATATAGCAAATAATAGTTTGTAGTGTCGATAAGACCAACCGAATATTTATTATCTTCCAAATATTTAGTAGGTTAGTTTCTTTAGAGATATTGTTGTTTGTTTGCTGCGTGCTTTATCTACCACAGATGTAAGGTCAATAAGTTATGATAAATGCAATGCATTTTGTAAAAGAAGCCTTTACTACATAGCGTAAATCTTGCAATAATTAGGCCTAATGAATTACTCATGTCCTTTTGAATGGATTGGATTTTAGATGGTTGTCTCTATTTAAATTTTTTAAATATTTCTAGATTGTTTAAATCGAACGTATGATGGAGATTTGCATATAATAAACGATTGTATTTGACAGAAGTTCACTTTTAAACAAATACTTACTTATGCCTGAGTCCGCCGTCAGTGGAAACTCCGCTTTAATGAAATTTTTGTAAATGCACAAATTAGTTTCCAAACTCTATATCTGGTCCATGAATTATCAATAAAATAACCACTTTTCTCCACCTCAAACGGTTTGTATCATGAGCATTAGGTATGGTTAATTGGAGAGATTTTAAATAACTTTATCTAGCGAAAGTTCCTGAGACGCGTCGTTCTAGCAACCGTGCTTATCTACTGTCAGCACATAACCAGTCCTCCCGAGAATACGTGTGTCAACAGAAAAATCTGATAAATTAAGGATAGGCACTGTTACATAATCTCAGAAGTCTAGAGGTCAACCATGATCCCTTTTTGATTTGAAGGTGTACCAGTTAAATAATTTTCAAACGACATCGGGTATATTTGTATAGCTCTCGAAATACTCCCAACCATTCCCAAATTTGACACCATTTGTACTTCTAATAATCGATGCTTCATCTCTTAAAGTCATATGCAGATGAAAATTTCATCAACAACGATGGAGGTTCTCTTCTTTCATTATAATGAAGCTACAGGCATGCACAACACAATTCAATTGAAATGCTAATTATATTTCAGTTTACATTTGCGAGCAATTGTTATTTTACCTAAAGGTAAATACTTTTTGTCCAGAGGTATAGTTGAACTACGAAACAGAGGAAGAAAAAAGAGATGTTACGAATGCGAATAGAATGGATATTGAACCTGAAACTGTTTAATTATAATGCATACATAATGATAATAGCGTGTGAGATGATGAGTTGACCAGACTACTGGTTAGATTTTAAAATAGTTTCATACTCTTGGGGTGGGTTGTTTACAAACTTAGATGGGATTTTAATGTGGTCAAATTTAGATGTGATGCAAAATAACATTCAAAATAGTGAAATGTTGACTTGCCAAGTTGAAACATTAAAAACGCATGCAATGTTTATGCAAAGATGTTGATTGACAGATGGCTTTCAATCATTGATATATGGCATCAAGAATGAAAATATCATCTACGTCCAAAAGCATAGCAGATAAGTAAAAGAATGGTACACTGGAAACGCGTGATTTGCCAACCACAATATTGACAACATTATGTCAAGGTCTTTAATGACATCACAGAAGTTCAATCCAGTAATTTGTTCGTAGTGTGTATATATGCATATTTTTAATCTACATTCATCTAAGACGCATCAACTGGTAACCAATATAAAGCTATTTTTAAAAAATGAAACAAGCATAAGTACCAAGTGTATTAAAAAGCAGCAAATGTCACGTAGAATATTTCATGGAATAAATGGCAACAAAATGCAGTTTATAATAAACAAGAGAATGCTCAAAAGAGACACGAGATAATTATATGATACTGCGATGGAGGAAAAACAGACTCCTTGTGAGTGTGAACAAGAAAAGTAAATAAAGTCTTAATGTAAGTCTTAATAAAAGCAAATTGGAAGCTTTTTTCTTGATTTTAAATATTGAACTTCACTTCCTTGTATTAATGCTAACTAGTAAAACACTGTAACTTTTCTCCACAGCCCATATTACCTCTCCAATTAACCGAGATAATTTACGGATAATTTATGGCTTTGTATGAGATATAAATTGTATGCATTCAAACTCAGTGTTTTGTTTACAATTACTCGATCGTTATTTTGAAATCTATACTTTTCAGTAAGACAGGGATGAGTCAAATAAGATGCAACTCGCAATATGACATGATACCACTAAACTGACCAGCGTTTTTGCTTTTAGATTGTACTAGTGTGTGTATGTGTGTGTGCGTGCGTGTGTGTGATTTAGATTTAAACGTAGCTTTAACAATTTTTAAGTCGCTACGATATCTACAGTGTAACGGTTTACAGTGATGACTAGCTTTGGGGCATCATGCCGCAGACATGTATCATGATGTTCCACACAGTCACATTATCCTGAAACCAGAAAACCGCTCCGGTGGCCTAGTGTTAGGACTACTAGGCCTGTTGTCAGAATAATGTGATTGCTACATGTCTGCAGCATGATACCCCATTGCTAGACATAAAACTGTCAAACTGCAGACTTCGTAGCGATATGACTGAAAAATTGCTAAAGCTACGTAAAAAATCTAAATCACACAAGCAAACACTTTGAGTGTTATTGTCACATATTAGTTCAGTTTTAAAACCACAGTTATCAGTTGCTTTCCTATTCTGAGAGTAAAAAATATTGCTTATGTGACGTATTTATTTTGTCCAATTCCCCTGGGCTTTATAAGAATGATCTAAATATTATTATCTGTTACAGATTCAGAAAATGTGTTATCAGGCTACGCAAAATAAGTACACTAAGATAAATCGCAAACAAATATTCAAAGTGCTAATCACTACCGTCAGGGCTGCTAATCACCCTGCTAAAGTCATATATAAGCTGTAATCTACCTGTCTTGCAAATAGTATCACGGCATTGTGTTTAATCTCTAAACATCGCCACAGGATTAGTGGTGAACTCTTATATAAGGTTACCATGACCTTCCACAGACCTGAAACTCGTAATCTGGTGACAGAACTCTGCGGTAGATTCTAAGGAATTACAAAGTTTCAAAAAGGTCGGTAACTTATTTGCTCGGTCCTTGCAGAATATTGAGGTATCATAAATGCAATTATTTTGTACTATGTACGCTTAATTGCTAGGATTGTTTAGTATGTAGAATTACCATTGGAGTGCTTCATTTACATACGTTTTGGAGAAATTGGCTTGAGCCTTTCGTAGAGAATTATTAGATTCTAGGCAGAATTATGTAGATTGTTAGCTTGTGGCAAGAATTATTTCTGTAATTCGCTATTAGGTTACTTCGTAGTAAACCAGTGCGTTTATTAATGCGTTATGTTAGAATTTGCACATTTATGAATTGTGAATTTGAAAACATGGTTGAAGTATTAAGATTAGTTTTTTATGGACCTATGCACGTATCAGAGAATGTATATTTGAATATTTGCCTACTTTGTAAGAGTTGTAAGGGAAAGAAATTTGTCTGATTATTGTGATATTGTTTAGTATAACTAGATTAGGAATATGTACTCTGATGTGACATAATTTATTGACGTATGAATACGATATAAGTGATACCGTGTTGTATTACGACGTTTGTTTAGCCACACAAGAACGTATGGGTATCTCGATGTGAACGAATGCGTGACCGAAGAAAATTAACAGCCGTTATCTGATGATAGGCTGTGTGAAGCTTGAGATGAGAGGGTTAAGGAAATAGATTCTACCATCCTAAATGTTTCATCGGAAGCATTTTAGGTGACAGTAAACTTCCCGTTCTATTGGGCCCCAAGTCTTCAAGAGTTGAAGACGGAAATGAGATTGTAGCCGAGAAAGTCGAAGTTAACAGAAGTGTGGTCGTAGGTAAGAAAGTCGAGGGGGAGGAGAAGTAGTCTAGAGTAAGTCGATGAGGAGGAGAAGGAATTTGGAGAAAGCTCGAGGAGGAAGAGGAGAAGGAATTGTGGGAAATAAGAGAAAGAAAGGATATAACAGACGAGTATAAATACAAGGACAGGTGGAAATCAACCTTACAGTGCTAATCAAGTGATGCACTATGCTGATGTGTTGGTCTGTGTGTGGAAGGGCGGAAGTTTCTACCAAATTGTAAATGCAGACTTTTCTAAGTGAACTAGACGAAAATAAAATCGGATAAAAGTTCTTTAAAACGCTTGTACGTGTAGTAAGAAACCCGTACTTCAAATAATATTATTCGACACCCGACCAGTATGCGCCTCCGGCAATGAAACGTGTAGCTGCACGTACGAGGGTGAGCCATTGTTAGACCAGATTAAAAGAATACGCCCTGTCTGAAAATATAAAAAGTACACCTTTCCAAGTGACTAATAATTTTTCAACGATTTGGTTTAACTTTCAGTTTATTAAAGGAAACAGTTTATTTTCAATACCACTAGAGATAATAATTCTGTAACCTTAGCTACATAATGATTTTGCAGA